AACCGAGCAATTCTGTGATTCTGTGAAAAGCTGGTCTACCAACCATAGTTAGTTGGGTTTGAAACTGTTGGCAACTTTATTCTGAAGGCTTTGGGCTATTAAATCATCTTTGGTGTGCTAAACCTGCATTTTAATAGCATGCAGTCATACACTGTTCTTCCACTCTAACATGATGCTGTCGCTCTTATTTCTTGTTTGGTTTGGCTTCCTTGACTATCGTGCCTTGGTCCCAGGAAGGAGAAGAATCAGTGCCAAGGGAAAGAAGACCTAGAGTGTAGCCAAATGTGGGCGGATTGCAAAAAAAACCCCAAAAAAACCAAAAAGAAGGTTTGAAGAATACTCATCATTACGAACACCTTTGATATCAAGGTCCTTTTTTTAAAGGGCCTTGCATAGTTGTGAGCAATGCTCGGCAACCTTCATGTGAGATGCTGTTGCCATCCCTGCCTGTACCTGTGCTGTCCTGCAGAAGGCTTTGAGCCGAATGTGGTGACTCATGTGGCTGTCAGCTTCTTGTCCCAGGCAAGATTAACAGTATTCTTTCTAGTGAAGCCAACCGACTGTTTAGCTGCATCCCAGCATCTTGGGAGTGTGGTGGTCCTTTATCAGGCTGGGATGTAAACTGCTGAATCAACTGCAGGTGTCTAATAGCAGGACACAGATTGTATATGTTTTCATAATTGGGTAAGAGGCTGATATAGCATTGAGACATGGGAGAGTACAACTTCGAGTTGCCACAAGATCCCCAGGGAGTGAGATGTTCAGTGTCTGTTTCCAAATTTCAGAATTGCTGAGACAGTAGAAAGAAGCCTCTAGGACTCGGCTTCTTTTTACCTTCTAACGTTTTGCTGCTGGAGGAGCCAGACTTTCAGAGCGCAAAATGCCAGTAAGGTAGTGGGACAGCAGGCACTGGAAAGAAGAGTTTAAAGGGGGGAAATAAAGTCCTTTCCCTTGTCATGGCTACCTTCTTCACCAGTCTGCAAGACTGATGTGAGATCTGATAGGATTGCAGGTTAATGCGCGCTGATGGTACATAAGGAAACTCCATGTGCTTGAAGGATTTTGAAGATAGCAGCACAGCTAAGGACTACAAAGAGCTTAAATGCTGCACTGTAGCACTTCTGTACAGTGGCAAATGCTGAATACAGTCCTGTTTTTCAGAGATCTCCAGTAAACCTCCTTTTGTCAGTATGCTGTTTGTCTAGTTTGCTGTGTACAGCAGCGTCGTTATGCTGTTGGTTGCTGTTTGGCTTTTGTGCAGAACAAGGCCTACTTCAAATGGGAATTTTCTTGTAATGTAATATGCATTGGGGCTTTTCAGTAGTTACAACTGTGATAGTGCATGAAACACACCTTGTCTATTCATTGAGTTGCGTGAAATATCACACATTTTCCATCTTGTGATCTGTCTTCCCTCCTCATCCCCCCATCTAAGATCCAGAGGCTTACAAACCTGTTCTGGTTATAGAAGACTGTTCTGGCATAATCAACAGTGTGTGATTGCAGCTTGTGATTAGGCTGCATCCCAGGAGACATGAATTTGGGCCCCTGCTCTTACTCTTACAGCCCAGCACGAAGATGACGGTAATTGTAGGTTTTTCTGCCTCCTGGGAGAGAGCTTTAATAGCTGTCTATCGAAGTGGGTAGTGCCTTCCTCCATCCTACCCCTCTAAAGCACCACAAAATGATTAGCTGAGTGCTTTTGAGAACCAGGGTTTGCATTTCTCTGTAGCCCGGTTGACAGCACTGCTACAGTCAGGTGCAGAGGGCTGAGCAGCAGTGATCTGAGTCTTGGAGCTGGGATGCTCCTGAAGTCAGGGAAGAGACTTCAGAAGCAGTCAGCATTGACCTCTTTTGTTGGTTGGTGGTTTTTTTGTTCCTGTAAATGTGAATGGGAGTTTACAGCAGGTTTCCAGGTGAGGAAGAGGTCAGGAAGGAGAGCTGCTAAGGTGTGCACATTGGTGTCCTCCACTTCAATCATCTTTGGCTATTAGGGGCAGTACAGCTCCTCATCACAGTCTCCAAATTGCACCAATTGCAATTACTAACAGTTGTGCTTTCCTTCCCCTCACAGGAGCTGTTGCAGTGTTTGTTGTGGGTCACATAAAAACATCCTGGGCAATGTGGGGTGAAGTGGCACTTGCACTGTTCTCCTTTCTTATTGCTGCTGCTGTATATATCATGGACACTGTTCGTAACATCTGGGTGTGCTATGCATCATATGTTGTCTTCCGAATTATCTACATGCTTCTAATCACTATAGCAACGTAAGTATCTTTTTAATGTAAATTCCTCTCAAGGTTGCTAGTGTGAAAGTTGGCATCTTTTCTGTGTGACTACTCTCGCTTGCCAGGAATCTGGAAATCTGTTGCAGGGCTTTGTGTTGTGATTCAGGTTGGAAACTGAGGCACAGGCTGGCAGCCTGTGCAAGCTTAGAAGTCTTAGAGACTATAGTCACTGTGAAGTGACATTTTCTAAATATTATATGGTGCTGCTTGCCAGGGGAATGTTTTTCATACACATAGTGGAGGTGATGTGTTAGTAGATGAGGAGAGGGAAATGTTTTGACTATGTTGTAGGATCAACTTTCCCTAACCTGTAAGGAGGAAAACTTACTCAAGATTGTCACTTTGAGGAGGAAAACACAGCTGTTGTTGAATGACACATACATAATTGCTACAAGATAGCTCAAGCACAGTAAGGGGAGATGCTGAAACTGATAACTGCAAAAGGAGTTCTGGTCAGAAGGATGTTGGAAGCTAGCAGTAGGCTGATGCTTTGGGATTGTCAACAGCTCCCTGGGATCAGAGAGTGCTGTATCTTCTCTGAGTGATAAGGCCTTTTAGCTGCTTCAGACAGGAGCTCTGCTAAAATCCACAGAGCTTCCAAAGGGGGTTTTTTAGCCTTTTAGATGTCTCTGTTGGTGTCTTCTGGCCTCTATGCTGGTCTCTCATGATCCTGTGTAGAGAAGTACACTGTCGATGTGAGGTAATTTAGCTGTGGAAAATACTGGACCAGTCTATGTAACTCTTCAGGTTGCATAGTCTTCTTACCCAGAGATGTTTCTCCTATTCCTACATTTCCTTGCTTTTTGCCTGGCCTTACATTTCTGGTCATCCCTTTCTTTCCAGGTTCCAGATTGCTACAAATCTCAGCGTGGAGCGGTATGCCCTGGTGTTCGGAGCCAACACTTTCATTGCCTTAGCACTTCAGAGTCTGCTCACTTTGATTGTTGTGGATGCCAGTGGGCTTGGGTTGGACATCTTCACCCAGGTATGATAGACTCTCTTAGCTTTATTGATAGGAGGGAGGAAGGTAAACCAAACTGTAAAGCTTCTCAGCTACCTGTTTCTGGGTCAGCGGTTTGCTGGCAGAGGAATAATCACTGATTCCTAGTATTTTAGAAGAGGAAGGGAGATCATGTATTAACTTTCTTGCAAATTTGGTAACTGCTTGGTTTAACTACTTTTTAAAATTTTCTTTCCCTTTCTCTGCAGTTCCTGATTTATGCCTCTTACTTTGCGGCAATCTCACTGGTGTTCTTGGGCAGTGGCATATACAGTATTATGAGAGCTTACAGAAGACAAGAGCAGATGCAAAGCAGATCTCCTGAAAGCCAGTAGTGCACCAAGTGAAGACTGTCAGTGCCTACATATGAAGATATAGATCTGCTTTTTAATCTCTGCCTTTTCTTCCCAAGGTAGTCACCTTAATGGTATTTGATCCATGTTTATACTATATTAGTAGCACATTTTAGAAGGTAACTATATTAGCTCTTACATAAGTAAGAACAAATATCTTCTTTCTAAAATGCCTTTTGTTCTTCTGTTGCATATATGGGATGTGCAGCAAAGAACAGCAAGTTTTCTCAAAGAATTAAAGCCTTGGGAGGTTTTAGCCTAAGACTGTGCATCTGGAGGCTGCCACTGAAAAGGCAGCTTCACGACTGTCATGTCAGCTGCTAATCTCTCTGTTCCTGAGGTGCTGCTCCAGGACAGAAGTGAGGGCACACTAACAGACCTCTGTGGAGAGCCCCAGGGCTGGGACAGGAGGTGGCCTTAGGCCTGCACTCTGCAGTGTGGCTCTCCTGTGCCTGCCCTGTGGTGCTGGATGCTCCATTTTGAGGACAAGTACACTGACATTTCTGCACACGCACATGCTTCCTTGACTTGATTGTATGGTTTCTGCTGTTCCTATCTGTCACCCCTGCTGCCAGAGTTTTACTATAGCTGATCATGGTGCTTCCCCAAAAACTTAGCTATGTCCTGGGGCAGCTTGTGATGCTGGTGAATTGGCTATCAGCAGCGCTACTTGTGCCATGAAGGCCTGTGCCCAAGGGGAAACTTGGAGGGAGTTTAAGTAGACAAAATGCTAACCTGAGGGACCCTTGGACATCCTTGCCTTAGCCCATTCGGACTGCAGATTCCTGCATGACAGGAGTCGATGCCTCTCAACCCTGGGGGTTGGGTTATTTCAGTGAGATGGTGGATGTTAGTATAACATGGAGAAGGAAGGTGACTTGCAGGATTTTAAGCTATCCTTTGTAACCTTGGAGACTCATGACTGTGGTGACTAAATGGACACCTTTGGTTATGGTAGTTAACAGGATTAACACCCAAGGCTTTGAAAAATGCTGATTTCTGGGCTGTCAGTTCTTCCTCTTTTAAAATGCCTTTGTGTCTCTGGTCAATCTCTGCCCACTAGTTCTACCTCTTCTTTCCACCTAATCAGGACAATGAATGTTTGGAGTGGGCAGTTCTCTTATTTTATTTTGTTCAGTCTAAGCAATTTGGGACTTGCCTCATATCTGGTTTTAAAAATAATTTCATTTTTTCCAAATTGCTTCAGCACTGGGAAGGAGTTGCACAGAGTTGTCCTGGGCTTGAGCACCTGGGTACTCAGGCACTGTGGTTGGCACAGCAACAGGTATCTGTAAGTAGGCTGTGGACATGGACCATAGGCTGTCCCAGTTGCTGTGCAGGTCATGGTGAGTTTAAGTGTATAGTAGAACTGGAAAGGGAGAAGATGCAAGGCAGCATGCTTCCCTCCATGCCTTCTCTCTGTGTGCTGGTTAGAGCTTCTCCCAGTCAGAGCCTGAAGGAGCAGCTTTGGTTCATTACTTGCTTTTAGTGCCATGGAGACTTCATGGCATCAGAGTTGGGAGGGCTTTTCTCTACTGGCTTGGACAGGTATGGCCTTTCTCATCACTTCTGTGAGCTGTACCACACAAGGTAAATGATGGATGTGTTTGGGATTTGCTGCCTGGGGTCTGGGGAGCACTTCAAAGCTAGCTGCTCAGGGGATCCTACTCATCAGAGTTGCTCTGTGTTTGCAGCTTGCCTCCTAAAGCATCCCACTAAACAGAGGGGTTCAGCTGCACTGGCATTTACACATGTAAACTTAACTGCCTTATCCTGAAATGGAAACTTGAAGCTACCCATGTATATATTCCTTTCTTTACTTTTTTTTTGTTGTTGTGTTTTTTTAAATTAATAAAATCTGAAGCCATGAAATGGTAGCTGATGAGCTGTCCTGGGTTCCTTGGCCTGATGGCATTTGCAGCAAGATGCAGAGAGTGGGTGTACAGAACTCGTGTCAAGTTACCGAAAGAAGCAGCTCAATTTCAATCACATTTTTCATACAGAGAACAAATTTTTGATGGGGAACAACCCAGATATTTTAAAGCAGGTCAAAACTTAACTTATGAATTGCAGCAATAACAATGATTTTTCTACCAAAGTAATGAAATTGTGGCAACTGCGATAGAGAGGCACATTACACTGCATACATCTTCAGGCCTATTAATGTGTAGAAGCCACGCCTGGATGTTCAGGTTCCTGTGCTGTTGCTGCGGTGATGAGGTGACTACAGAGCCTGACTGGAGCTGTACGCAGTTACTGATGCCTATGAAATTCTGTACACATGTTGACATAGATGATTTCTAATTGAATAGCTATTTTTGTTAAATAAAATTACTCCGAGATATCCTGTGTGGCCAGTGTTTTTTTGTATTTTGATACCTTGCTAATCCACAGCACTGCTGCTGCAGTTGCCTAACGCAGGTTGTTCTGAGCATCTTTGTTACAAAGAGGGAAAAAAATAAAGGGTGAACTATGCAGAAAGAAACAAGTCTTTGTGAATGTGATAGTTGGTGATTGGTTTGTGCAGGGATGCCAGCCTGAGATTCTTACCAGTGGCGGGGTTTCAAGTCTCTGCTTGCACAGGGCAGGAAGGTAACCAGTAGCTCGTACAGGTGTAGCATTACCCGTTAAGGTGGATTCAGGCATTTCATATCTGGTGCTGGTGAAAGGTCCTGTGACGAGAACCCTGAGATTGCTCTTGCCTGTGAGCAAAGCAGGTCCATGTGAGCTGTGGCAATCCTCCTTGCTCCTCCCACCGCATCCTGCCACACTGTGTACAGCTGAGAGCGCTGAAAAGAGACACCCAGCTCCTGTCAAGAGCTGAATTCTTGCTTTAGTGAATCAGCATGTGGCGCAGTTGGATGAATACGAAATAAATGCTACATGTGGCTGGGGCGTCTCCTTGGGATGCTGTGGCTTTTTCTTTGTTCCAGTTGATGCCAGGGGATGCCAGAGGTGAGTGCTACTGCTGAATCTTGTATATCCTGCACCGGGCTTGCTGTGATGCTGGTAAGATGTGGCATAGTTCCTGGGCATTAGGATCCCTGTTAGAGGGAGAGGCCAGGTGCTGGGCTTGGTCTGTCCGAAAAGCGAGGAATAGTAAGAGCTGCCAGATGCTACTGTTTTAGGAGCTGCACCCACTGCTGTTCCCCTGGGCCAGCACTGGCTGTGACAGCCCACTTCGGCACAGCAGGATTACACTCCACTATGCTGTGGCTGTGTGCATGTGTGAAATAGCCTGGCAGTGCTCTTGGGGAAAGGGAAGGGCTCTGTGCTGAAGGGATTGTGTTTTCTCCTTTATCAGTGTGATTGCAGCCAAGTACCGGGAAGGAAAGAGGGAATTTGGCTATGGAAGGGGCAGGAGACTGGGAGTTCTGGACCCTGTTCCCAGTGACTCTTGACGGTGTCAACTGTTTCCTATACAACATACAAAAGGTGTTGAGGTGCTTGTTTAACATTGCTCTGGAGGTATTAAGCAGCCTTTCTCTGTAAAACATGCTTGGTATAAATCAGTGTTCCCTGAACACGGTGTCTGATGCATTAGTGACATGGAAAAGAGCAACCAACATATCAGGGCCTGTCCTTGGAGACCTGCACTGCTTGACTGTTGTTTCCCTTGTGTTTTGTCACTTTCTTAGCTCTGTAGCTCCCTCACAGATGGGAACATCTGAAAACCTAAATTTAATGATATGCAAGGTTAATGAACATGTGCATGAATTTAGATCGACCTTAAGATAGTGTTAAATGATTGTTATCAAGCATTACAGCCCGACTGCCCAGCAACAGGACCTAATCCTTGCCTTACAACCATGCTGATTTGTAATTATTTGAATCAAGTGTCTCTCGTGAATGAAAGGGGTAGCAGTGGCTTATGAGATGGATAGTCTTATGATAAAAACAGAGCATGAAGCTTTGATATTGTCCCAGTTCTCTTTGTTTTAGTGTGCTATGAACTTGTCAAAGCCACCTGCCTGTGAAGAATGGAAAATCACAAGTTTGATGTATTGTGTTCAAGAGCGGGTGAGGTCAGTGGTTGAAGTTTTTCCAGGTACAGTAGGAACCATTGCCAAGCAGGTACCTGAGTGTTATCACACACAGTTATCTCAGGTAAATACCAGGGAGCCCTGCCAAGCCACCGAAAACAGTCACAAACCCCATTTATCTTTCTGGCTCTATAGTGTAGGATTAGCTGAAACCCCGAGGTTGTGGAGTCCAACCTCCTCCTATGATGACAGACGTCTTCAGAGGTCTCCTGAACCCCACCTTGAAGGGTTGTAGCTTTCTGTCCCAGGTTACTTTGAGTGAAAACCCCCATTAGTCTGAGAATTATCAACACTCTGCCTAAATTTATTCACGGCTGTTTTCTTCCTGTCCTTTCTTTCATTAACATTAACCCTTGAGTACAAGGGTGTGCTGCCCTCAGAGGTGTGTGGCCTTCTGGTGCATTTATCAGGCATTTTATCAGGGTTATCAGGTATTGGAACAAGCTGCCCTGGGAAATGGTGGAATCGCCATCCCTGGAGGTATTTAAAAGACAGGTAGATGAGGTGCTTAGAAACATGGTTTAGTAGTGGACAGGTTATGGTTGGACTCCATGATCTTAAAGGTCTTTTCCAACCAAATGATTCTGTGATTTGTAGACTGTCATCCTTGATTTTATTGGGCCAGTGTATTCAAAACTGGGGGCCATGGTTGTGTGGGGGACAGCATGACAGGTGCCATTTCAGTACTGGCAGTGAGGATGACTCCCTCCCTCCTTCGACCCTGGGGGGGCCATGCTGCCACGATCCAGGCCCACATGCTGGCAGGAGGGCTGAGGAGGGTCATCCCCCAAAATGTGGTGCTGGGGAGCACCATGCAATGCTGCATGAGCTGCCAGGAGCTGCCCTCACAGGGCCGAAGGGACCTCTGAGGCATGTTGTGCGCTGTGAGGGTTATACCTCCATTTTGCGTTGGGGCTGTAGGTAGGAGCAGAGGCTGTG